GAGGGGGGGGGCTTCGGGGGGTTCGAAAGAACCGCCCCTTTTGCTGGGAAAAGGTCCACTTTTTCAGAATAAGAACCCCCCTTTTGAAATTTCTGGCTACGGGCCTGACATTGCTCATACCTTAATTTTGTACAATATTTAACAAGACACACTATTTATCCTGATATAAGAGGGTAACTTATCAGAACTGTATACTTTTTTTCCAGATCCACCTGATTCAATCATTATAAATTATAAAAGCAAATAAAATATAATGCTAGATATTCTCAGGACTTACATCCTGTGAGTGGGTTGTAACGACTGTAACAGGTGCCCGAGGGACATTCCCAGACATCGACACCGCTGGCTTCACTTGGGGCAGCGCAGGCACCAAACCCGGCATTGGAATCCCTGGTGTTGTATTCACATTGGTAGCAGTCTGAAAACAACGCACGGATATTAGTCTCGGTGTTTTGTTTGAATGACTCTATCTTTTTCAGTTTCGTCAATCGATCTTTCTCAAAGATGAAATGGTAATCTGCTTGAGAATAAGGCATTTGCATTCGTAACTTTCCGAAATGCTCCCAAGGAAATGTTTTTGGTTTACATTTATTAAATAAAGGAAATGAGAAAATATGTTTGTTTAAAACCATTGATAGAAAAAGTAAGTGTTAACAGCTAGTTTCGTAAATGCGCAAGCTCTACTTTATTTAAAATAATGCTATGCTCAAGTTTTAGTCTTGCGGCTGGAAAAGCTCTTGAAACGTGAATATTAAAGGTACATGTTACCAAAATAGCCACATTAAACATAATTTCATGAAAAAAATCTAAGCGATGCAATATTTGATATAGGAAGAAATCCTGATGATAGGTAAAAAAATCAAACTCAGATCTTGCCATCCAAAAGTTGAAATGAAAAGTGACGAAAAGCTTTAGCATTGTGATAAATAACAACTAAATAATATAAAAGGAATGAATAAATAAAATGTTACTCACTGCTGTAGCCCTTTTCGGCAGCGGCTAAGCCGATGAAAGCAACGACGAGAAGGAATTTCATGTTGAAGGCGTCAGTGTTCCTGCACAGAGTTGAAGGATAGCGGCTTCTACCCAGCGGGTCCCCTTTTATATATCCCACCGACACCCCCAGCAACACGACACTTCAACCCACTTGTGGTAAAATATGCAAATTAACCTTCTTTTTGACAAATCGGTAGTTTTTTTATCACTTAAATGGAGCATTTCAAAACAAATTAGAATGGGTCACAGAAGTACTTTAATATTTCAATAATTCAATTGTTATGGGTTGTGTTATTCTAGATATTTTGACCATGCGATTGCATGGACTTTTCAATTGTATGTCCTGATTAGTACTTTGACGTATAACTGGATGACCCGGAATTGCATGTAAGAAGTCATATTTGTAATAAATGGATTACTGACGAACAGCAATAATAATTTCTTTGTTGTCCTGATTTAACCGTTACAGTTGATTAAATTGTTTTTAATGGCGGCTTTACATTGGCAGTGATTGGGTACCTCACGAACATATGGCAGTGCATGGACAAGTTCCCGCGAACTAAAATTTAATACAAAAGGGGGTGGCGCTCGAAAATAAAAACGTGCGTCTTCATAGAATAAATAGAGCAAAGAAGCAGCCTTTGATTGATCTGCATGATAAATAAAATTTTGAATACAGTTTGTTAAGAAATATATGTACTTTTTCTATAATTTTCCAATGATGATACTTTTTAAGTTAACCATATCCAAGTAAGTATTCTAGTAAGACCAGGGTGATACGGCGACTCGCGTGTGTCGTCCATTTTACATGGAAATCCACATTTTTTCTGAAATCACGACTAATTGACCAGAGAGAGAGAGAGAGAGAGAGAGAGAGAGAGAGAGAGAGAGAGAGAACACACGCGTCTTTTATTTGTGATCTTGTTCAATCACGCATGGGCACTTGCCTCTGATGTATAATTTTCCTCTATTAACAAACAAGTGCTCTTAATGTTTTAAAATCCCATCACCAAGGTGATGTCTTAGAGAAAAAGATTGTTTTCAATATATAAAGGTATATCCCAATTATTTCACCATTGAATTCCATTCTGGTTTATACTTATAAGCAGATTAAAATAGATTATGAACAGCCGAACAAAATCTTCTGCGTCGATTCGAAAAAAGCGTACAGGTCCACCTTTTTCCGAGTTTGCTTGCAAGAGGTAATTAGAACTCAGTTTTTCCCTAAAATATCGTCAGCAGCAAGCGGAGGGTGATACGCGACTCGCGTGTGTCGTCCATTTTACATGGAAATCATGGCCCGTATGCCTCTGCCATTAATAAACCTCTAGAAGCGAAGTAAGCACGATATACTCATTGAAGGAATGGACAAATAAGATGATAAATAAATAAATTTATAAAAAGTGGATACACTAGCTTACCGCATGCTGCCGTCGTCAGGGATTTTCATCACACCTGATGAAGGAAAACTCGGATAGTGTATCTTTTTATTCATTTATGATATATCAAACGGTTGTTCACGACGAAAGAAGTCCCATTTTACTTTATAATTAATGTATTAATGGTGGAAGCAACTTTTTTTTCTGTTTTTTTTCAGAAAGGAGTTACGTGAAGCAGCTTTCATTTATGACACGACAGACACATTGAGTAAGCGAAGATTCTGAGATTGTATTGGGTCCTTTTGTAATAAAAGTGGCTGAAAAGTCAAAAAAAGGACACGTCTCAGGAATAATTTTCACCAGAAATCAACTAAACTGACGAATATGAAAATTATTTTTGTATCAGAACCGTGTCTGTAAACTGTTATCGTTTTGCTGTACAGTGTGTTGGAGGATTAGCTAAAAGATATATATATATATTTCTTATTAAAAGAAGATCACTAGCAATATAGCAGGTTAAATTGTTAGATTTATTCCTGATAACGGTTTTGATGCTATCATTAACTTTAATACTGCGCATGCTGATGGCATATTATGCTCTCATCAAAGGCAGGCTTTGTATCGGGTCTTTGCATCTTTGTTTGAATTTCTACGAATTCTATTTCATTTGACGTTTTTGTTTACAAAGATGACCACAACGACACACACCGACTAAAGCTGCCAGTGTGTTTTCGAGTAACCAATTTGCTTCCTGGCAGCGTATTGCCGTGTCATGAGATCAGGTTCGTGTTCAGCTCTCATTATAAATTAATTGAAATCCAGCGTGGCAATACAAAATTCAAGTTAAACGGAAAATCAACAGATGTAACCGGCGAAGACTGGCTTATAAAAATATAAAAATGATGATAATCGTCATCATCATCATCATCAAATAAAAAAAATGAAAATTACATTTCATATTGGAAACCCTTACAAGATTAATGGTATGAGCTCCATTTCATTCCTTATTAGATTGAAAGAACAAGTGGATGAATAATAATAAGAGTAATTATAAAAACATCATCATCCTTAGAAAATGTTAAGATTGGATGGATATCAAAAGAGGAGGGGTATCGTCTTTGTCATGAAACGGTCACTGTCCGGTCAGTCCCTGTAAACATGCCAAAGTTCAAACTGAAATAGACGGCAACTGTTTAGAGTTGACCACTGAACGACTGAGGCTACTGATATATATATATCTGGTGCCCGGGGTAAGGGTGGTGGTGGTGGGTGGGGGGGGGGGGGGGGAGGGCTCTCCGAATGATCATGAAAGGCAGACAGACATATAAACCTCAACAAATCCAATCGGTAGTTAACTGATTTACTTATTTCTTGTTTTAATCCGACCAGAACGCGTTTGCAGACTTTTCCACACTCGCCCTGAATGGGAACCCACTTGAAGTTTCATTTATTATCAGCTGGATGATTGCATGTGTCGGGAATAGATAAATTCACACACAATAGATAAATGAATAAATAATTTTTAATGACAAATTGAAAAAATTGACAAATAAATAAATAAATAAATAAATAAATAAATAAATAAATAAATAAATAAATAAGGTCTTGGTCATTTAGCATAGACGATGGAAATTTTTTTTTTGCCTAACTGTAAAAAAAAAAATAATAAAATAAGCATGCTATTTCACCGGGAGATGATGACTGCATAACATGACATCTCATGATGTCATCCCTTCACTCTCTGGCGTGTTACAGCAGTGTGCCCGAGCTTAATGAGATTGGTCATGGAAACGGTTTGTTCTAAAAGTGAGAGTTTTCATTTCGATTTTTGTCAACGAGGAATGACATTACTAGCTCCACTTTGTTCATGAAGTTGATTGCCGTTACTTCACTGTTACTTTCCTGTATGTACAATGACAACTTTCCTTCCTTCATTCAAGATGTTTTAATTTTTTTTCAGGTTTCGTTTATTTGTATAATTGTTATTTGTTTACTCATAAAACGGTAACAAGTCGGTTTATATCATTAAAAGTTCACCTCTGTGTGTATGCTGAGTTCAAATGAAAAGGGGATTTTTTCAGATACAACGAAGAGCGATGTGGTGTGGTAAGGTATTAGAGGTACTTTCTTCTTGATTGTTCTTTTTTTATTCAGCTCTTTAATGAGATGTAGCAAGACGAAAGAGAAAATGCGGGAACCATAAATAATCCACCAGCCAGCAGGCGTTGAAGTTTGTTCAGTCGTCATTTCACTTTATTTTAACTAAATTTTAACTTAGGGACATGAAATAAGTCAGCAGTCGAACTGTCCCTCTATTCTATTCTTTTCTATTCTATTCCATTCTTATATACTTTTGGTTTTGTTTTTTTCTTAAATCTTTAAATATTAATATTTCCGTGTGCTCGTTTGAAAAAAAAAAAAGAGAAATAGTAATGGAAAGCAACATATTTCCCAAACGAGGGTGAAATATAGATACATGTACATATACCATCTGCAAGCACCTCTGCAAAGTCACCATTATATAAAGAAACTGAGTTTCTTTTTTCTCATTTTTGTTTATCAGATGAAACAATAGAGTTATTGTTCGATAGAAAGTTGCATGTTTGCTGAGACATGAGATCGGTAAACAGTTTGGCTTTATTATAAACAACCACAGCATAAGATGGACACTATGGTAAGCCATCAAAGTAAAGCCTCGTGAGAAGAGGGCACCGATATCAGCAAGCCACATCCCTTTGCTTCATTTACACGGTGACAAAACAAATTCTGTTACGAAAGTGGGCGGTTTGTTGTACATGTACAAGAGTGCTATTGCTGTGTCATTAACTTGGTTACAGTTTTGTTATATGTATTATACAGCCAATATTACAATGTAAACCCAGTCACTTTCTTGAAACACATGCTATGGATTATTCTTCTAAAGTCTCTGCCTGAGGTTGAAAAGCCATGTCCACCCTTCTTCCAGTAGCTTGCCAGTTTATTAATGAACTCAATTTTCATAAAAAAAAATCGTATTTGTACACTATTTCTCCGTACTGACCACGCGTTTAATTGTTTTTCTTCCCGTTGCCTGTGGCGTGATTATCGTTAATTTTCCATTTTGGTGTTGCATGTACAATACAGAAAATTGCAATACTATTGTGAAATTAACCAATCAATAATAATATTATATGTGACTTTTATCTTTTTCCATCTTTTCCTAATACTAAACAGTTTTCAGACTTGTTGACTATATATAAAATTATCTTATACTCAATAAATCCCTGTCATTTTACTTATTTGGTCCTCTTTATTTATTACCTGATATGAGTGAAAGCGTGAGTCATTAACTTTAAAACAATGAGTTCAGACTGCGATTCTAATCTCTTAAGACCGCCCGACCACGACGACGTTTTGAGACCGTGACCCAAGTTAAAGCGGCGCGTTACGTGTTAAGGAAAATCACGGAGCAGACAAATTTATTTCACATTTACTGTATATTTTCCATTTAAAAAGATCAAATACAATCTGTGATGATAAGGGTGAAGGGGGGGGGGGTGCTGAGATTTCAGAATCCCATCTCCGAAAAGCAAATGCATAGTCTGAGGATTATATTTTAGTGTATGTTGGCTGTTTATTACTTTTAAAGTTTATTACTAAAAAGTACCACAATTTGTCGTAT